AAAAAAACAAGAGTAAGTTAGTTGTGCCTTCTATTCTAGATTTTGAACCTGAATTGACTTTGTTCCCTTATCCAGTGGCACTTGTCATAGATATGGACATGAGAGAAAATTTGTTCACTACCCACCCTATACGTTAAAGGAAAATGTTTTAAAGTTGTAATTATAGAGTTTTGATCACAGTTTTAATGAGTTGATAGTGGGTCTTATTCATTAATGATGTGATGCATGTATCTTGTGGTTTTCTTCTTCTTCTTTTTTTAAAGCTTCCTGCCACGTCGGTGGAACTCTAATTAGAATTCCACTATTAGAGCTCTGAATTATGATTGTACATTAAATATTATAAACTTAAAAGTACTAATTTAGGACTGAGATTCATTTATATTTAGATTTCACATTATATCAATTTAATCTTTACCACGCAAACGCATTACTCATAAAAATTTGAAATAATTTTTCTAAAAGAAGAGAATTTATGCACCCAATATTACACAAATGTAGAATATGGTCACTTTATATCATCTAAATGATGATCAAACATAATTTTTATATAAAATTTATAAAAAGAATAACGTGCAATCATTTTTTTTTTGGTAATAATGAACCATAGTAGTAGGCACCTTAAATATCAATGAATGAATATAAATGAAATATATCATTTTACATACAATTTTTATATATAAATTTCATATGTATGTTATTTACGAGTCTCATACAACTAAATAAATCTACTCAAATGGAAGAGTAGTGAATTGGAGCTCCTCCACCCATCAATGGTCTCAGAGCATGTTCAATAGACACTTCAAGAGCCTATTAGTACAAGACATTAGGATAGTTAACTAATACAATTTTGTTTTTTGTTTTTTTGGGGTGTTTCAATGCATTTGTTAATTAGTTTTATTTTATAAGTGTGGTTTCTCTGAAATCTTCATCCTAATTTGAGAGAATGTTTGGACTTGATAGGTCCATTTTTAGACCAATTTCGATAATCCGAATTATTTACTTTTTAAGACTCGTTTAATAAATATTTATGCAAATATCAAGATAATTGAATATTGGTAACTATATGTTTGAATTATATTTATTTTAAAAACTAGACAATAAATATAATTTCAAGAATAGTCATTCATTTTTTGTAATATAATTTTGATTCAAAAATATAACTATCAATATTTGATCATCTTGATTTTTTTTACATAAATATTCTACTCAATGAGTTCTAAAAAGTGAACTGTTGGATCACCGAAATTAGTTCTAAAATGGGCCTACCAAATTCAAATGCACTCTCAATTTGATATGGCCAACTTGAAATAAGTCAAACACTTATTTTTTTCAGAAATGCGCCGGACCCCCAGCAAATGCCACCCCCACCGACCCCCAGTGCCACGTGGCACTGCGGGATTGGAAGAAAGAAAAAAAAAAAACAGAAAACTGGCCAATGAAGGCCCGCCACGTCACTGGGGGTCGACCCCCAGTGGGGGTCTGTAGCAGCACTGTATTTTATATACATATTTAAGCGGTCTCAGTTCTTACCTACCACATTTTTTAACACACATTTTAATTATATTATTAAAACTTTACCTACCACATTTTTTAACACACATTTTAATTATATTATTAAAACTTTACCTACCACATTTTTTAACACACATTTTAATTATATTATTAAAACTTTACCTACCACATTTTTTAACACACATTTTAATTATATTATTAAAACTTTACCTACCACATTTTTTAACACACATTTTAATTATATTATTAAAACTTTACCTACCACATTTTTTAACACACATTTTAATTATATTATTAAAACTTTACCTACCACATTTTTTAACACACATTTTAATTATATTATTAAAACTTTACCTACCACATTTTTTAACACACATTTTAATTATATTATTAAAACTTTACCTACCACATTTTTTAACACACATTTTAATTATATTATTAAAACTTTACCTACCACATTTTTTAACACACATTTTAATTATATTATTAAAACTTTACCTACCACTTTTATTTTTATCTACTCTCAAATACACACAATTTATAATTTCTAAAATTAATTCAATTAAATTAGAATAAATTATAAATTCTTAATTACTTAATATAATTCTTCAATTTTTATTCTAACTATTTTTTAGATCACAATTAAATTTAAATCCTTAATTATTTATTGTAATTATTAAAATTTTAAGGTTGAAGCACCAATAAATTCCAAATAGTAATCTTATAAACTATTTGATCCTACATTTTTTTCTTATAGATCCAAAAGTCATATTCTAGTGTGAATTACATAAAGAACCAAGCATAAATGCTCATGTGTTATGTGTTGAGGGACAAAATATGTGTTTTCTCATAATGTTAAAATTACTAAACATAACATTTTAAAAAACTTTTTAGTATAATTTTTTTAAACATAAAACTCTAATGTAACACTTCAAAAATATAAAACTCCAATGTAACACACTAAAAAATTCCTTAGTGCATTTTTCTCAAACGTAATAACGTAACATTTAAAAAAAACTCCTTAGTGTGCTTTTTTCAAGCGTAACACCCCAATGTAACATAGTAAAAAAAACTCCTTAGTATATTTTTCTCAAACGTAACATTCAAAAAAAAAAAAAAAAAACTCAATTGTGCATTTTTTTCCAAACGTAGCACTTCAATCAATATAGCACACAAAAACTCTTTTGTGTACTTTTTCAAAATGTAACACTAATATAATATACTAAAAAATTTCTTAGTGTACTTTTCTCAAATGTAACAACATAATATTCCAAAAGAACTCCTTAGTGCATTTTTCCTAAACGTAACACTCTAATCAATGTAACACATAAAAACTTTTTATTTTCAAAAGTAGCACTCTAATGTAACACTCTAATGTAACACCAAAAACCACACTAACAGAAATGTAGAATTCCATACGCGACAACCAACACTTCAGCCACCAATCTCCTCAAAAAGAATTTTTCACACCTCATCTATCCATTCTCATCTCAAAAACGAATTAGAAAATTGAAAAAATATATCACAAAAAGATATTCGCTTAAACTCAAATGACATCAAATCAAATAAATACAATTTTTCAAAACAAAAAGGACTAATTGGTTCATAAGAAAATTCTTAAGACTAAATGGATCAACATTTTCCCATATGAGATTTATGGGTAATTTTTTCAAATTCTAATCTAATTATGTTTTAGAATACAATTAATCCTAAATTCTTAATTATTTATTAAAATTCTTAACATCTTAATCTAATTTTAATTGAATTATGTTTTAGATCAATTGTTGATTATTATTTATTTTCTATTTTAACTATATTAAATTTTAAATCAATCATTTATATTTTATATTTTAGATCAATCATTAATTATATTTTAATTTAATTTTAATTAACATCTTAATCTAATTTCAGATTTGGAAAAGATGAGGATAAAATTGTGTTTTTGTCCAGTTACTTTCACTTTATTTTTTTAGAAAGCTAAACCCTTTCAAATAAATAGTGTGTGTGATATATTTTCCGTTAGTTTGAATGCAAAAATTAACGATAGTACTTTAATCCAAAATTATAAAAAGATTTTCTGACTATATTTAAAATGTATAGGGATAAAGTGCTTCCTCCCCCCCCAAAAAAAAAAAAAAAAAAAGAGAGAGGGAGGAAAGGGAAAAAAATGCTCTTAAAAGCTCAGGGGAACCTCGACCTGGCACATTCCAACCCAATTGACATGCCATAAAATCCCAACACTGGAACTCGGAAAAGTACCTTGAAAAGTATATTTATGAAGCTGAATGCTAGGTGAGTGAGAAAATTATCAAAATTTTTATCCAACATTCATATCAATGTGGGGTTTATACTCATGCGTCTCACTCTCGCATGAGTGTTTGATAAAAAAATTTAATAATTTTTTTATTAGAATCACTAGCATTTTTCATTTATGAATTACAATCATTTTAAATGCGATCAATATTCTCTCAACTTTAAATTTACATCATTCACCTTATTTTAAGATAAAATTCATAACGCAAGTCATGCTACTATACACTATCCAAAAAGGGGTGCGTTCCATATGCAACTTATGACATTTGTAGTATTGATACCACAAATGTCATAACTAAATCACTTCTTGACTAAAAAAATATATAATGAGCCATAACTAAATACTAGTTAAGGTATAACCAAAAAAAAAAAAAATGTTATAACCAAAATAATAACTACAATAGATCATAACCAAGTCATAACTAAGAGTCATAATCAAACACAACTTGAGACATATAACCAAAGACCTCCTTGGTCGTAAAAATTATAAGAAATCATAACTAAATCATAACTAATATTACAATGAATCATAATTAACAATACAATAAATTATAATTAAAAATACGAATATCATAACTGAACATAATACATGTTTTAAAAAGAACTGTATTATAGAATTTTTCATAACACAATTTAAAATGCCATATTTTTTAAATTTTCTGCCAAATGAATAACCAAATGTCTTATACGGGTATAGGGTCCATAAAAATGTGGACCCCACGCTCATGTAACACATTTGGTCATTTATTTGGTAGAAAATTTGATATCGCCAGTATTACCCTAACACAATTGGGGGAAATTATTCAATAATCCCGGAACATCACGTGGTCATACTCCAAGCCAATCATGTTGTTCCCCATTCCCAACATAAATCATGAGCCCCTATCCCCCTCTACCAATCAAAACTTTATGGAGCACCACGGGTCCATACTTCGAGAATACTGAATAATCACCCCACAATTTGATGCATTTTTCATAAAATCCACGTGCCCCATGAAATATGAAGTAACTCACCGGTCAAATGGGAATTGACTCATGTAGAAATCAACCAAACACTTGTACAGCTAATTTTCTTCATAAGTCAAAATGCTCAAAAGCTCCACATTCCACACCACCACCACCACCAACACTACTACTAACAAACATTTGTTGAAGTTGGTGTTGGACTTACAGTCCAGACCAGACCAGAGGGAGCGTTGGATGGATATATATGTGTGTGTGTGTGTAGACCTTTGTTTAACTTTGTGAGCCCCCAAATTATCAAACTTGATATGATATGGAAACATCAAAGCAAACAATCCACATTCCACTCTTTTTTCGCATTCTTCTTCTGTTGTTGCTCTCTCACATTGCAGCCTCCAGCACCATCGTCACATCTTTACCCGGTTTTAATGGCACTCTTCCCTTCTCACTTGAGACCGGGTCAGTGAGTTTGTTGTTTCCTTCAATTCTTTCTCCCTGTTTGGTTGCTGAGAATGAAATTGAAAGATTTACTGAATTGTATTATGCAATGCAGATATGTGGGTGTGGGTGACATGGATGATGTGCAGCTGTTTTACTATTTTGTGGAGTCTCAGAGGAACCCTGCTCAAGATCCTCTAATGCTTTGGCTTACCGGCGGCCCCGGCTGTTCTTGCCTCTCTGCTTTCTTCTACGAAAGTGGTTCGTTTCTTACCATTTTTACTTACCTAACCAATACGTATATTATTAGAGAAAATTTTAATGTAACAGTGATACAATGTAATTATTAACACGTAAAATCATTGTCTAATAATAAATTACTATATGGGCATACAATAGTGAACCACATCGTGCTGTGCTGATGATAGGGTAGTTATTGAATTGTGTTGAATGATAGTTACATGTTATCAACGTTAAAGTAATATCTTTTTCCTTCCTTTGAAAACTGCCAAATGACTTGGAAGATCTATCATCCATTAGTATTGATTTTCAGATCATTGTCAATTAGTAATGTGTTGGGTTTCTTTGTCTTGAAAATCCTTGTCCCTCTCTAATGTATCTCTCAGTCATGTAATATAATTTTTTTAACTTTGAAAAAATTATATTGTGTGATGCAAAGATACATAACCTGGTCCTTTCCTTCTTTTTTTTTTTTTTTTTTTATACAAATGACATGACATGCACACATTGCTTTGAAACTGAAACATCACTCTACAAAGGAAACTAGAGACCAAACTTAAATAAATAGATAAAGATAAGAAAAAAACAGCTTTCAGGTACATCAATTTATCTCATGCATTCATTCCTTTAGTCCAAAAAAAAAGACTAAACCAAGCCTAAAGTCCCATCAAATGGGGTCGGCTATAGGATTCATTGTCATAAGGGATCTGAGCGGCTTTTTTACGTATTGATTGTTGGCTATCTAACACACAACCCTCCTCCTTTATCTGGACTTGGGACTGACAAAGTTATTAAACAATCCCAACGGAGTTAGTATGACATATAATAATGAAATTTTCAAATTTAAAATGAATTTCATTACAATAATATAGTGCGTGTTTAGTTAATATATATATATATATATAGTAGGTTTCACGTTAGTTATTAAAAAAATTAATAAGATTTGTTACTTGTATAATATTATTTAGTTCTAATTAAAAATCAATTAATATTCTACATTTAACTCTCAATTAGTCATTATTTTAGATCAGGGATATAACCTAAATTAACCGTTTATTTAAAATATAAAATAAAAATAAAAAATTATGACCAGGTGTTTGAGCCACTTTTATACACCTTGACTAATTTCAGAATTCACGCAAAAAGTCCCTCAATGTAAATCATGCAAATTTTGGACAGAACCCATAATTGTGACCCTAAAGAGGTGATAACACTTAATTAGTTGAACTGGAAATCTTAAAAAAACACAACTCTAAACCCAAACCCAAACTATTTTCACTAGGCCAATCCCTTGCGTTGAGTTAATCGCTTATTGATTCTTCAAATTTAGCACCAGCCTTTTTCTCTTCTTTTTTTTCTTTTTTCTCTCTCTCTCTCTCTCTCTCTCTCTCTCTCTTCTTCTTTCTTTCTCTCTCTCTTTTTTTTTTTTTTTTTTTTGTGGTTTTTTTTTTAATTTTTTTTTTTTTTTTTTTTTTAATAACGAGATAATAACATAATAACAATTTTTTTTTTTGATCGGCACAGAAAAAAATTAATATCCATTACAAAAAGTTTTAAATTTTAAACTTTTACAATTGATCCCGATGAATTTTCATCTTTTGAAATCTTTCCATAATAGTATCATTGTCAATGTCATCAAAAATATCTCTCTCAATGTAGACAACCAACCTATCATTCATTCATTTATCATCCATTCGGTTCCGCAACCGATTCTTTACAATATTCATAGCTGAAAATACATTCTCAACAGTAGCAGTTGCAACAGGTAAGATTAATGCTAAAGTCAAGAGCAAATACACCAATGGATATACTTTGTCTCTTCTA